CACTAATGAAAACATACCTATGGCTATTATATTCCATTTCTGCCAATAGGCCTTTAACAAAATCTAAGGTGCCATTTTAATTGATGATTATCTGGATTATTTCGTGAATCTCAATTCTATTGACCGGGGTAATTGTTACATTTAATTTTCATATCATCCCATGCCTATAAAGAAATGGCAACAAACACCAGTCTGCCACAAAATTAGCATTCTTAGGACCACTGTTTATCACACAGATAAATAAATTTGTCTGAGGAGCTTGAAAAAAAGTCGACCAGGGTGAGAGGATTACACAATAACTTTTGGCAAAGGTGCAAATGTGATATGAGCTGAAAAAAACAAAAGACTTGATGGCGTCCTTTGTTAGTCCTCCTCCTCAAACAGTGACCGACTCTCAGGGAGTAGACACTTGAGAAGATAGGATCTCCCTGAGCATGTTAGACATGCAGGAAACCAGACAGATAGGCTTCAAGAGACAATACAAGCAAAGGAGAGTGGGAGAGAGAACCTGAAAAAAGACAAAGCAGTGACAAAGGAGTGACAGACTGATGAGGTGATAGTGTGCCGAAACACCAGCAATCATTCTGCATACTATTAAAAATAGTAGGCTGCAGAGAGTGGATCAGACTGGAAGAAAATGAAACGAAAGGGTCCCGGAGAAAGTTAAGATGTGGAATGTCAAACTCTTTAGCCAGCAAGTGAGTCAGCCAATCAGCGAGACAGCTCCGTACCTGCAAGCCTCTCTAATCTTTTGCCAGTTCAGACTAGGTAATTGTCCATAGCAATGACAGGTAATGGGGCATCATCTGCATACCAGACAGTTTCTTTACTTCACAAAGATGAGTGAAAGAGGAGGCCTGACCTCTGCTTGGGCTGATTAGGGATGACTTGGAGATGAGAATGGGCTACTTTGTGTTTGTCGTAATTGGTTGTAATAGACCTGTCAGGGCTCCAACTGTAAATGGGTGCCTGGACTCTACTGTCAAATCCATTTTATCAGGCAGGGGATTACCTGAAGGGTTGCTGTGACTGTGTGACAGATATCGAGCAGTTGTCAAGCGTTATCTTAAAAAGGTGGAATGTAACTGTATTCGGTCACATGCGTGATGCCAGTGTGGAGGTTGCACATTCCACAGGGGCTGGAAAGCTCTCCCTCCTGTCTTCATACACGAAGAACTTGATGACATCCTCGGCAGTCAGAAGATGCCAAGAAGACATGTTTAATGATTCTGACATTTAAAAAAAAATCTAAACTGCTAAAAAGATTAGGCAGCTCTGTTCACCTGAGAGGAACTGTGAAGGAATGACAAGAATGCGACAAAGATGGACAGACAGATAAGACTGAAGAGAGGACAAACAAACACTTATAAAGAAGGTGTCAATGACAAAACAAGTTCACAGATACTCAGCTACCATATCCCTGACTTATAAAGACTTATAAAGTGTTGACTATTTGCACATCCAGGATTCATCGAGTCGAGTTTCCTGCCACCTGACCAATTTAAAAAAACATTTGCAAAGCCAGTTTTTAGTATGTTAAATCCAGAATTGTTTGCATCCATGTTTACCAGCTAGCAGTCTCGTTCTTCCCTGCCTTTGTTGGCACAGCATGCATACCGTTGCCACCTGTGGATCAGTGGAGTAGTGGAAAACCATTGGCATGCCTCACAAAGATAACCAGTGCTCCATAGCACTACTAGAGGTCCATATATCTTTAAAAACTGTGTCATGTTGATGTCTTTATAAAATTTTGTGCCACAACAATCCCCCGCCTCATGCTATCTTACAGAAAAATGACTCTGATAAGTGAAGTACACAGATGTGACTTATCAGAATTGGTATCGAGAGAGCAAGTTGGATTGGTGTACGACTAAACTTATCAACACTATATTGGTTGTCAACATAAAGTTTTTTAATTGATTTAATTCACTTGAAATGTTTCATCAGATCAAATACTGTGATTACAACATGATTCAAAATTAGAGGGAATAATTTTACATCACAATTTTCCTTTTCACTGAAGAAAATGGTTGGGGTCTATAACAAACATGTTTTCTTACATCTGTACAACAAGATTTGTAAGTAAGTAAGAGTATTTCTGCAGCAATTTATTACAGTATTTCATTAGAATGCTGTCTGTTACATTACAAAAAAATGCAGCTTCTGCCAGTTGGATATCGCACTTGGTCATATTGCAATTTCGATAATATTTCGATAAATTGTGCAAGCTTAGGCTGCAGGCCTCATTAGTCACTTAGACACAAAAACATTGGAAAAAAGAATCCATCAAGTATGGGCATTTACTTGCCAAATAAAATGAGTTTTCCCAATGAAATTCAACGGTTTTAGTACATGAAAACAGACCGTATGTTGAAACATACTGGCATGAAATTGGCTAATGCTAAATTGATATAGTATGTTCACAGGTACACATGTAACCAGGTTACTATGACAAATCAGCTAACTTAGAAAATCAGGCAATGCGTTTTCATGTAATATAGCAACCTGGTTACTGTAAAACCTGCACAGACAAGCTGCAGGTCCCTAATCAGGTTTCTAACTGCCCCTAACCCTTTACTTTAACCATGGTTTACTTAGTTTATTAGTGATACAACATGCTGCTTCTGGAATTTAGGGCCTAGTCAAAAGTTCAAAAAGGAAATATTCACATAGTCTTAGTTTCATTTTTAGTATTGAATATTTGGTATATTTATTTTTAATACAAGGATGCATAATTATAAACCCAGTTACCCGTCTACATGGCCAAGCAATCAACATTCTCTAGAAGATTTCTGGCCGAGGAAATCAGGTGTCTGAATTTCTCCACCCAGACTACAGAAAGAGAAACAGGTCTCTAATTTACACAAAGTAAAAGTAATCAGGTTCTTGCAGAATGACAACAGTAGCCTGGTTACTTCAAAACCCATATCACTGCAATCACAGCTGATGGTGCAGGGCTGTAAAGTTTAGCAGTAATGGAGTGTCACCCCTTTAACCTCAGTGACTGGCGCTCTCCAGTTTGCCCCGTGGCTCCACTCTCATCTACATTCTGGTCCTCCTTCAGCCCCTTACAGCTGTTATCAGCTGCAGGTCTGTTTACCTGGCCTCGGGTCACTGACAGCCAGCCGCATGTTTGGCCACTGGAGACAGATAAGGCGTCTCTCCACCCACCTAACTGTAGACTTTATCACTCTCCGCTGTGTGTCTGTGTGTGTGTGAGAGAGTGTGTGGTGATAACCCCTGGCCCAAGCACTAGGCTAAGGCCGGCTTTCAGTGTTTACAACGGCTTGGATCAAAGCAGGCTCAGTGTGCAACCGGTCAGCGGACCTGCCGTTTGGTCATACATTAACTATAGGCAGGCTGTGAGAATGTGTGTGTGTGACGGTGTGTTTTCCCAGTCAATAATGCTGAACCGAACAAGGCCTGAAGTAGTTTTGTTGAGTAAGAGCTTCTAACGTGCACTGCAGTCACTGCATGTCGCGGCTGAGAGGGTACAGGAAAATTCAAAAGAGGCACAAAATATCTTAACTTGGAAGGTGATGACACTGATACGTTTCACTTATGATTTCTAGAATCAAATTCATTTCCATTGCCCTGCTTATCTCAACAAGGCCCCGATATAAACTTTAAATGTATTGTGGATCGATAGGCATCTGTCTTGTCTAGGTTGCCTGAGTTTTTACAGCTATCATTAAAAAAGTCAACCGATATTACACATAGCCTACATTGGCAGATCTTTTTGATGTCATTTTTAAATATAGGTTTAATCAAGTTGTTTTTTTCAATTAATACCACTTTAAAAATAATATTTGTCAGTTTTATTTTAAATGGCATTAAATGACCAATGCACTGGATTTGTTTGGCCAGGCCCTGTTGCTCCACTACAAGAGCCACTACAAGTGCCTCTACTGCAATGGAACCCTACCTATTTAGTTTTCCTGTCTATAAAGGGGGAATTCACATGGGAATTCACATGGGAATTGACTGGGTGAATGATAGCAATCCAAACACTGTGCCAAAAACATATTTATTGATCCTAAACTATATTTTACAAAGTATGTCCCATTGGAAATATGTTAAGTCAAGAGAAAATAGTGGATACTTCTTACTTTACATTTTTTTCAACAGGAAAGCATTTTGGTTATATCTGTGTGTAGACTGTTGTGTTTTATACATTCCAAGGTTTCCTAATTATAATAATAAAGAACAAGGTGGACACAAAGAATTCCATTGTACTTCATGCAAACCTCCACTTAACCATTATACTGCGTTTATATTATGTCCATGTGAGTTATGGATGGTTATCAGTCTAATACCAAGCCAGAGCCCTACTTTCTTTTGAACATCAAAAAAAATAAAATTTCTTTGTAGATGCTTTTTTATTAAGTATCCAGTCTATGGTAGTAACATATATCATACTGTGTGACCACATCCTGTGAGAAAGTAATAAAAAAGCAACAAATTCTGCTATCCAAAAATGTATTGGCTTATTGTGTCATGTGACGTAAATCAAACTTTTCCCATCCAAATGTAGGCGGCCTGGCGCTGCCCTTCTCCGCCACTTCGTTAGCTTTAAAGATTTACTGAAAATGAAACACCAAAAAATAGCAGTGATACTTCGGAGCTTATGGGCCCGACCAATTTGAAATGCGTTATATGCACACAGTATTTAAAACTATTTTAAACAAACCAAACACAGCAATTTTTCATAGATGGTCTCCTCAAATGCTAGAATTCTATCAGAAAGGAAAGAAAAGTGAAAGAAAGTAAAAGAAGCTCTCCTTTTATAACATTTTCAAGAGAAAGGAGAATGGAGGGGGCGAGAGGAAGAAGATTGGAACATGTAATGATTTGTTCTTGTATTTTTTGTAAAGCAGTGGTTGAATGTTTTTTTTACTTGTCATGGCTGATTCTCCCACAAATGGTCTATGTTTTAAATGCGTGTGTGTGGTTTGGAAGGAAGAAGAACACCCCTTGGATCGTCTACTACTGACAGGAAATAAGGCACGCACTGGGGATAAAGCCCTCTTTAGACAAACATACTTGCTCTATGTCAACTTCTACACGCCTGATTCAATTAGTTGTCAGGAAAACATTTAGCAGTGTGTGAGTGTATAGCGTGGAAGAGGAGAAGGAAATAAGACTGTAAATAATGCTGATTAACTGATAAATTGCTCTAAATCTGGGCCATTTGGCTGCTCCCTGGTTGCTAATGTTTTCTGTGTTAAAATTGCAGCACACACCTGTTGGCAGAGCAAACCACAGCCAATGACCCTTATTCCAAACACTACAAAAATTGGAACTGGAGTATTTCTTGGCATTTGCTCCCTGCATCCCCTTTATTTTGAGCTAGATTTAAATGCTTTTGCTTGGTGTATCTCTCGCACAAAGCCTTTTGTTTTATGTGGAGGGACCAGCATTGATAATGGTTTATATGTTTAGTTTAACGTACTTCAGTGTTAACTAGAGATGGGATGATAAACAATATTCCAATATTGTGATAATTAGTCAGGATAATCTGGAATATCCTCACGTGATTTGATTTGAAAAAGTAGTTTTCCATCCTATATTGACAACGGGGAGCCGAAGGTTTGGCTTGCCCATTGTATCCACTACAAAAAAAAGTTAAACCGGGTTTGTGGAAATGTAATAGATTCTAAAATACAGAATAGGGAGATAAGAAGAAATAAGTCTATCTGTGATGCAATATGTGTATGGTAAGGTGATTCCAGTATGTTTTAGTGTCATTTTAAAAGTATGAAGTATATTTTTATGATTATCATGATAATATAATGTATTGCAATTATCTTGGCCAAAATAATCATGACATGAAATTTTCACATCGTCCCATGCAAAGAAACAGCAATTTTTAAACTGTCCACTGCAAACGCTTATAACATTTTAGAGCTGATGAAATTTGTAGTGTGTGTATGTGTGTGTAGGTG